TTCATCGTATCAACCAGAGACCACAGTCCCATCGATCACCCATCCTGGAAAAGAAGACACTTCAGGGGTTCTATCTTCAACCATCTCACATAGCATACCCAAAATGGTGACATCACCAAATCTTATTTCTGCTGAACTAAACACCACAGTGTCATTAGTCACTTATATTGGGGAACATCATAGTTCAGACATAGCTACAAGGCCTATCTCTCCAGATAAATCAGAAATGATACCATCACTGGTCACTGGCTCAAGCACAGATAGCTACTTAGTGACTTCAACTCTGACTGTTTCTCTTGATCAACATGTGACTATAGCCCCATTGGTTCCCCATCCAGGAAAAGAAGTCACTTCAAAAGTTCTATCTACACCCGTCACACCTGGTGTTCCAGACATGATGACCTCAACAACTCTGATCCACACTCCTCCTGAACCACAGACCATAGCATCATTGGTCACACATGCTGGTGAACATCCCAATTTATCCATGTCTGCTCAGACTGTCCCTTCAGGTGTAACAGAATTGATGACATCCACAGCCACTACTTCTGGGACAGAGACACATGAAACCAATCCAGCTCTACTTGTTTTCCCAGGTCCAACAAATAGCACAGCATTATGGGTGACTCATGCTGAAACAGAAGACACTTCAGGTGTTCTGACCACTCCTATTTCAGCTAGTGTTCCAGACCTTGTTACTTCCACAACTCCTGTTCCTTCTGAATCACATTCTACAGTTTCCTCTGTCACCCACATTGGGGAACAGCCTAGTTCAGCCAGGTCTACTCTGGCTGGCTCTCCAGGTAATACAAAACTGATCCCATCACTGGTCACTAGCTCCAGCTCTATACCACCTACAACTCTGGAAGTTTCAACAGGTAAACCAGAGACCATAGCCCTATGGATCACCCATCCTGGAACAGAAGGTTCTTCAGAGGATTTATCTACAACCATCTCAGCTGGTGTTACAGACATGATGACCTCAACAGCTCTGGTCCACACTCCTTCTGAACCACAGACCAGAGCATCATTGGTCACGCATCCTGGTAGACATCCCAATTCATCCTTGTCTGATCAAGCTGTATCTTCTGATGCAACAGAAATGACACGCTCACTAGTCACCAGCTTGGGCACAGGAAGCTATGTAATGGTCACCCGTACTGAAAGAGAAGGCACATCAGGGGTTCTAAGTACTACCATTTCAGCCAGTGTCCCCAAAATGATTTCCACAGCAACTCTTTTTCCTTCTGAACCAGTAACTGAAACTTCATTTGTCACCTCTGCTGAGGGTCAGACCAATTTAAGTCTGTCTACCATGGCTGTCTCTCCAAGTATAACGGAAATGACATCACAAGCCACTACTTTGGGGACAGAGACAGAAGAGACCCCTCCAGTTCTACTTGTTTCCCCAGATGAAAGAGAGACCACAGCCTCAAGGGTAACTCATATTGAAAGAGTACCCACCTCAGGTTCTCCAACCTCCACTATTTCAACTATTTTCCCAGATTTGGTTACCTCACCAACTCTTATTTCTTCTGAACCACATACTACAGTTTCATTCATTACCCTCGCTGAGGAACAACAGACAACTCAGACTGTCTCTCCTGGCATAACAGAAATGATACCATCAATGATCACTCTCTCAGGCAAAAATAACCACTCAGCATCTTCAACTCTGGCAGATTCTGTAGGTGAAGCAGAAACCACAACCCATACTGGAAACGAAGACACTTCAGTGGTTCTGACTACAGCCATCTCACTTAGTGGTCTAGACACAATGACCTCAACAATTCCGAACCACACTACTGAAACACAGAACATAACATCATTGGTTCCCCATGCTGGAGGACAGCCCAGTTTATCCATGTCTACTCAGAGTGTCTCTCCGGGTATAACAGAAGTGACGCCATCACTGTTCACTAACTTGGGCACAAGCTCTGCAATGACTACAACAGTGACTGTTTCCCCAGGTCAACCTGAGAGCACAGTCCCATGGGTCCCCCATCCTGGAATAGAAGGCACTTCAAGGGTTCTCTCTATGACCATCTCACCTAATGTACCAGAAATGATGTCATCACCGACTCTTATTCCTTCTGAATCACATACCATAGTTTCACTTGTCACCCACTTTGAAGAACAGTCCAGTTCAACCATGTCTGCAAAATCTGTAGCTCCAGGTATAACTGAAATGATACCATCACAGGTCACTAGTTCTGGAACCAAAAACCATCCAATCACTTCAAGTCTGTCTGTTTCCTCAGGTCAAACAGAGTCCACAGCTCCATGGGTCACCCATCCGGGGAAAGAAGACACTTCAGGAGTTCTAACTTCAACCATCTCACCTCATGTTCCTGGTACGCTGACCTTAACAGCTGTGACCCACATTACTTCTGAACCACAGACTGGAACATTGGTCACCCATGCTGGGGGTCAGCCCAGTACATCCATGTCTACTCTGGCTATCTCTCCCCATGTAACAGAAATGATACCATCACTGGGCACTAGCTCTGGTGTGCCAGAAATGATGACCTCACCAAATCTTATTTCTTCTGAAGCAGATACAACAATTTCTTTGGTCACTGATGTTGGGGGACAGCCCAGTTCAACCATGTCTACAAAGTCTATCTCTCCCCGTGTAACAGAAACAATATCATCACTCATCACTAGTTCCTACATAGAAATGGATTCAGTGTCTTCCACTCTCGCTACTTCTCCAGGTCAACAAGAAACCCCAACCTCATTGCTCACCACTCCTATAACAGAAGCCCCTTTGAGTATTCTAAGGACACCCATATCTCCCAGTGTTCCAGACATGTTATCTTCATCAACTCTTATTCCTTCTGAACCACATACCACAATGTCCTTGACCTCCCATGTTGAGGGACAGCCCAGTTCTGCCATGCCTATAAGGCCTGTCCCTCCAGAAATGATTACTCCAACAACTCTTATTCCTTCTGAATCCCATAACACTATTTCAGGTGTAACAGAAATGATGACATCATTGGCCACTACGTCTGAGACGAAGACATATACAGCTACTCCAGTTTTGACTGTTTCCTCAAGTCAAACAGAGAACACAGCCTCCTCAGTCTTGCTTCCTGGAAAAGAAGCAACTTCAACAATTTCTACTCTGTCTACTTTACCTGGTGAGCCAAAAGGAACTGAAACATGGCTCATTCTTTCTGCCAAGCCCAGCACACCCCTCTCCACAGCAACTCTCAAATTTTCTTCTAGTGAACCAGACATCACACCCTCAGCTTCTGGGGCAGAGACCACTTCAGGCATTCCAACAACTCTTTCATCTGGTGTACCATATATGACCACTCCACTAACTGCTGGTTCTACAACAGACAATAGTAAGATTTTTCTTACACTGAGTACATTGATGCATGAGCCAACATCAGCAGTCTCCCTGGTCTCTCATTCTGCCTTAATCCAACAAACTTCCAGTGCTTCTGATAGTGGTTTAGATGTTACGCCCTCAATAATCAATCATCCTGGAACTGAAACCAGTTCATCTGTGCCAACAATGACTCTCTTTCCTGGGGCACCAGGTGTTGAGATCTCACAGTTCTCTAGTTCTGGCCCATCAACCAGTACATTTCCAAATACAGTTCTGTCTCCTAGTGAACCAAAAAGCACAGTCTCATTACCCACCTTCCTCAGTACAGAAACTAACCCAACATTTCCTGTTTCAACTGGTTTTCTTCCTTCATTAGAGACCACAGCCTCAGAGCCCATTACATCTAAGGTAGATGTTAGTACAACTCTCTTAACTCAGACTGTGTCCCCCAGTGTACCAGAGATGACAAATTTTCTCTTGAACTCATCTGTGACTGAGGAGAGCAAAGGTGACCTGGGTACAACATTTTCATCTGGTGCTTCTGAAGAAACAGCCTCTCTCCCCACCCACTCTGGAACTGAGACCAGCACAATCATTCTAAGTGTAACTCCTTCCCCTATTTTAACAGGAACCACAGGCTTATGGGCTTCCATCACTACTGCAGAATCTACTCTGACTATGTCCCCTAGTGTGTCTGGGTTTCCTGGTGTTCCTACAACTAGTAAATCTAGCAGTGAAACTTTACAGAGCATAGCAACTTCAGCATCTGTCACTACAGTTAGACTTTCTGATCTTGTCACTGATGCCACAAGTCCCATAATTACCTTGATACCATCAGAGTCCTCAACAAGCCCAATCACTGACCTGGAAACAAGTGACACTTCTCATTTAGCTACCACAAGTTCAAGACCCAATGGGAATAAGACCACAACTACTCAACATGGACTGAGCACATCTACAATGTCCACATGGTTCTCTGAGAATGTGACTTCAAGACCAAGTAAGAATAAGCTTTATTATTGTAGTAATCTATAACATATAACGCATATGTATATAATGTAAATATTTCCTCTGTGTGTTTTAGGTATACAATTCAGTATTGCTGAATATACAGTATTATGTAACCATAGCTTTTATTTTCCAGCCAATATTTAGATTATTCTTCATTGCTGGCTTTGTAAGTGCTATGCCACTAAGCCGTATCTACAACCCTACAAACAATTTTAATCACCCCAAACTGTACCCATTAAGCAAGAATTCCTCATTCTGTATTTCTCCCAACCATTAGTGACTGTATGAGTTTCCTTTCTATGTGCTGTATCTGTTATGTAGCTAATGCACACCCAACTGCTGTGAGATCAAGACTGCAATACCCATGGCATATCTGGAAGACAGGTTTTCATAACACACGACCACTTCCTTTAACACACATTCTGCCTGTACCCTCTTCTACAATGTTCCCTGAGCCTTAGAATTTGTTGTTGATTTAATTTTTACTTACTCAAACATTCATTCACTTTGACAGTGTGTGTGTGTCGTATATGTGTTCAGAGACAAGAAGAGACCACCAGGTATTTTCTTACTCTTCTCTTGATTCCACCGAGGTAGGGCTTTTCACTGACTGGTACTAGACTGTCAGTGAGAAATCCCCAGAGATCCTCCTGTCTCCGCACACATCACGGCTCTGTCTGCTCTTCCAGGCACACACATGGCCCAGCCCAACTTTTTATGTGAGTGCAAGGGATTCAAACTTGGGCTGTCACGCTTGCACAGCCAGCACTCCCACCCATGGTTCCTTCTTCATGGCCCGCAGAGCTTTGAGTTTTTATTAAAATTTGAATTGAGTTTTTTCTTTTTCTTCTATTTTTGAGATTATAATATAATCACATAATTTCCCCTTTCCCTGTCCTCTCTCTAAACCCTCCCATAAATTCACACTTTGCTCTTTTTCAAAGTTATGGCCCTTATTTCATTAATTGTTGTCACATGCTTGTGATTATATTTAGGAATAAAATAAATTATACATTATAATATATGTTATACATAAGGGGCTCCTAATGCCTGGTATTGGGGATTTTGTTAGGTGGATTTTTTCTTTTGGTTTTTGGAGAGAGCCTATATACTATAACAAATATTATACAATATATTCCTAAATATAATCTACTGAATCTGTGTTGTGTACACATATTTTCAGGGCTGAAAATGAAGCATATTTTCATTTGCTTTTCACAACCAGTTAGTGCGCTCTTCCTTTTTTCTATTCTGAGTATTCCTTAGTTACCTATTGTTCTTTGTGTAGGACTGAGGATTTGTGGTCTTTCTCCATCCACTTTGGCATGTTTATTGTCCTAACTCACCTCATGTTTAGACAGCGATGTTGGTAAGAATTTTTGAGTGTAGCTTCTGATATTACTAATAGATGCAACCTCCCAGACAACTCCACGGTCCTCTGGCTCTTACAATCCTACACCCTCTTTCTCAGTGTTCCTAAGCTTTAGGTTCTGGAGTGTTTTGTAGATGTATTCATTGGAACTTGGCTCCATAACTCTGAATTTTGACTTCTTATTGTTCTCTGGTATGTTTTCTGTCTATTGCAAAAAGAAGTTTCCTCGGAGAGGGGTGAGGGTTACCCTTATCTGTGGGTATGAGGACAAATATTTATATTGTTATTTGCGATTATGCTCATTTAGTAAAATGGATGTTTCCCTGACATAGTGGGTTTCAATGCTAGGTTTCCATTACCAAGCATGATTTAGATCTTAAGTCTTAATAAAAAGCTGTTGGTTACTACCACGGTATGCATGCCACCTCCTCTTCCACCTTCCCTCAGAAAAGAGCAGGTCTCCCTAGGAAATTCACCTAACCAAATGTCTTGGTTGAAGCCTACTTTGCCATAGTGTATGATCTTTTTGATGTGCTCTTATATTCAGTTGGCAAGTATTGGATTGAGTATTTTTACTTATATATTCAGAAGGCTGTTCAGTTTTATCTGGAATTCTTTTTCTTTATTGAACCTTTGAGTGGTTTGGGTATCATAGTGAATGTGACTATGGCTTAATAAAATAAACTTAGCAATGTTCCTTCTATTTCTGTTTTGTAAAATAATTTGGGGAGTGTTTGCATTAATTCTTCTTTAAACATCTGGTAGAATTTGGTATTAAATCATCTGGCCCTGGGCTTTTATTGGATTGGAGATTTTTAACAACAGTTTCTATTTTCTTAGGGGCTACAGATCTATTTCAATTGTTGATCTCTTGACTTAAGTTTGGAATGTGGGATCTGTCCAAAATATTGCCCATTTCTTTTCGATTTCCCAATTTCCAGAGTACAGGTTTTTAATGTATGACCTAATGACTCATTGGATTTTCCTTGATGTCTTGTTATAGCCTCTTTTATGTATCCGATTTTATTAATTGGATATTCTCTCTGTGTCTTTTTAATTAGTTTGGATGAGGATTTGTCTATCTTGTTGATATTCTCAAAGAACCAACTCTGTTTCATTGATTCTTTATTTGATTCTCTTTGTTTTATTTTATTGATTTCCACCCTCGGTTTATTTGCTGCCATCTACTCCTCTTTGGTGTGTTTGCTTCTTTTTTCTATTAGTGCTATGAACTTTCCTCTAACTACTACTTTCATTGTGTCCCATCAGTTTAAGTATGTTGTGCATTCATTTTAATAGAATTCTCGGAAGTTTTTAAAATTCTTTATATCTGCCTTGACCATTAGTTGTTCAGTAGGCAGGTGTTCAGTTTCCATGAGATTGTAGACTTTCTGTTTTTGTACTTGTTGAAATCCAGCTTTAATCTGTGGTGATCTCATAGGGTACAGGAGATTATTTCAATTTTCTTTTACCTATTTAGACTTGCTTTGTGGCTGAGTATGTGGTCAGTTTGGGAGAATGTTCCATGAAGTGCTGCAAGAAGGTGTATGCTTTTGTGTTTGGGTGAAACGTTCTATGGATATCTGTTAGGTCCTTTTGATATATAACATCTGTTAGGTTCATTATTTCTCTGTTTAGTTTTTGTCTAGATGACCTGTCCATTGGTGAGAGTGCGTATTGAAGTCTCCCATTATTAATGTGTGAGGTTCAATGTATGATTTAAACTGTAGTAATGTAACTCTTACAAATGTGAATATCATTGCATTTGGAGCATAGGCGTTATACAGTGAAATGGCATCTTGATGCACTTTTCCTTTGATGAGAATGAAATATCCTCCATCTCTTGATTAATTTTTGTTTGAAGTCTATTTTGTTAGATATTAGTATAGCTACTCCAGCTTGTTTTGGGGATTCATTTGCATATAAAATCTTTTTTCAACCCTTTACTCTGAAGTAATATCTATCTTTTATATTGAGTATGTTTCTGTATGCAGAGGAAGGATGGATCCTGTTTTTATGTATATTCTGCTAATCTCTGTCTTTTTATTGGAGAATTGAGTTCATTGGTATTCAGAGATATCAGTAATTATTAATTCTTATTATTTTGTTTTTAATACTGATGGTGGCACTGATAGTTATGGTTGTGATACTGGTGGCGTTGTGTGTGTGTATGTGTGTTTGTGTGTCCAATTCACTTATGTTTTTGCTGATTTGAGATTATTTCCTGTGTTTTTAAGGGTGTAATGAAGCTCATTGGATTTGAGTTTTCATTCTAGTTTCTCTTGTAAGGCTCGATTTGTGAATAGATATTGTGTACGTTTGACTGTATCATGCAATATCTTGTATTCTACTTTCATGGTGATTGAATGTTTCACTGGGTATAGTAGTTTAGGTAGACATCTGTGATCTCTTAGAGTCTGCAGCAAATCCATCTAAACCCTTCTGGCTATTAAAGTCTGCACTGAGAAATCAGGTGTAATTCTAGTAGGTCTAAATTTATATGTTACTTGTTCTTTTCTCCTTTCAGTTTTAGTATTATTTATTCATTCTGTATGTTTAGTGTCTTGATTATTTTGTGGTGAGGGACTATCTTTTATGTTCCAGTCTTACAGAATTTGGTGTTCTGTTTCTTGTACATTTATAGGCAACTCTTTCTTTATGTTAGGAAAATTTTCTTATATAACTTTGATGAAAGTATTTTCTGGGCTCTTGAACAGTGTTTATTCTCCTTCTTCTATTCCAATTTTCCTTAGGTTTGGTCTTTCTGCTGTGTCCAGGTTTCCTGGATGTTTTGTGTTAGGAACTTTTTTAGATTTAACATTTTCTTTGACTGATGTATCTGTTTCCTCTATAGTGTCCTCAATGCCTGAGATTCTCCCTTCCATCTCTTGTGTTCTGTTGCTCATGTTTACATCTGTAGTTCCCCTTTTCCTTACCCAGATTTTCCATTTCCAGAATTCTGTCAATTTGTGTTTGCTTTATTGCTTCTATTTCCATTTTCAGGTCTTGAACTGTTTTCTTCATCTGTTTATTTTATCTTGGCAGTTTTGGCATTCTTTAAGGGATTTACTGATTTCATCCAATTTTTTTGTTCATCTTTTCTTCAATCTCTTTAAAGGATTTTTTCATTTCCTCTTTAAGGACCTCTATCATCTTCATAAAATTATTTTTAAGGTCATTTTCTTATGGGTCAGCTACATTGAATGGTTGTAGGATAACTGGACTCTGGAGATGCCATATTGCCCTTTCTATTATTGTGTTTTTTCACTGGCAGTTAGGCATCTGGGCCTAGGATGATTGTAAGTCTAGGTATTTATTTGTGTTTGTCTATGTATGGACATTTTGTTCCTTGGTTTCTGTTCCCACTTTTTTATTCTGGACTAAATGGCTGAGGGTTCTTGACTAATGAGTCTTTAAGACAAGTAGGGTGTCTCCCCTGGCATTTTGGGGGCCTGTAAGATCTCTGGAGTTTTGGGTGCCAACGTTCCCTCTGCTGTTCCAAGTATTTGTGTGATGGGTGATACCTCTCTATATGCTGTGAATATGTTTTATTACCATTGGTTAATAACGATGCCCATTTGGCCAATGGTGAGGCAGAATAGAGAGAGGAGGGAAAT